CCAACCCCGCTCGCCCCGGTCCTGGGGGGACAGAGCCACTACTGCGGCTTCCCCCGGCAGATCTCCCCCGGAGAAGCATCCGGCTGCGGCTCAGGGCGCTGCAGAACGTCACTGCCGAGGAAGTCAACGGCACCGTACGTCACTGGAGGGAGTGGGCTCGGGGAAGGGGACACACCGGCACCCGGGGCAGCGTGGCAGCTTGGGATGCCCATGCCTCCGCACACCCCGTTCCCGCGGGACCCCTGGGGCTCCAGCAGATCTGCAGGCTGGAGGGAGTCCGTGCCAGCCGTGTGACACTGGTGGTGGTCATGGCCATGGCCATGTGCTGGGTTCCCAGCACGTGAAGGAAAGGCCAGGCCAGCCCTTGGGGCTCAGCCACAGTGCCTGGACCACCCTTCAGCCCCTCCCCGCACTGGTGCTGTCCTCTCCTCCCCTGACACGATCCCGTTCCCCCCACCACAGGTCTCGGCCATCCTGGGCTCCCTGGAGGTAAAGGCTTTCCAGAGCAACACCAACATCACCCAGACGTGAGTCGGCTGTGGAGTGGCCCCGTGCCCAGCCCAGGGACCCGGTGGGGCAAGTCTGGGCACAGGTCCACAAGGTTTTGGACAGAAAGGGCATTTTCCCCCCACCCAGAGTCTGTTTTTCCAGCCCTGATGCTGATAAAACCTTGGAGACACAAGACCCATGGCACCTTCCGTCTCCTGCCTCATCCCTTCTTTACCACTCACCAAACAGGGAAACTGAGGCACGGTGAGGCTCAGTCACTCTGTGATGCAGCAGCAGCTCCACTGGCAGCCCTGTCTTTTCCCCACAGGACAGACGGTGATGGCTTCACCTTCACGGTGGTGTCTGAGTTTGCCTACGACAGCCGTGGAACCATCATCCAGTTCCTGAATGAGGAGCTGCCGGGGGCCATCACCGGCGCCTTCAACAGATGGCGGAGGCGTCGGGAGGTGGGCACACACCTCCACTTCCAGCGCCTGCACCGGGACAACGTCACTGACCTGGTGAAATGTGAGTCATTCCCAGCGCTGAGATGAGAACCCGGGAGGCGCACGCTGCTGTCCCCGTGGTCCATCCTCCATTACCCTGTGTGCCCTGGGGTTTGGGTAGTGCCCATGGGGGAGGCGGGTGGGCAGCAGTCCCCACCCCAGGCACGGATCCAGCTTGGGGAGACTTTGGGAAGCATGAAAGGGTGATGCTGCCACATGGCCAAACCCACCCCATCCCTCCCCAGTGACAGTGGCGGAGCTGAGGGTCTATTTCCCCTGCGGCCTGCTCGGCTACAAAGGCTACCAGCTCCACTTCGTGGGGACCATCGGCTTCACCTGCATCTCCCCTTGCAAGACGGGCTACTGCCAGCATGGCGGCCGGTGCCAGCATTTTCCCGAGGGTTCTCCCCCACCGGTGCCCGGTGCGAGCAGCTGGCCCTCAGCCTTGCCTCCTTCCTGGGCATCTTGCTGGGAGCCCTGGCTCTGCTCTGCCTCCTGCTCGCCACCGCCTGCCTGGCCTCGCACCTCTGCCGCCGGCACCATCGCCAGCACCAGGGGTGAGCCGTGGGCCGGACCCGTGCAGGGATGGGTGCTATGGGTGAGGCAGGGAAGGGAGGTTGGGTGTTGGGAAGAGATTCACCGAAAAATGGTGAAAAATCCAGCTCCAAGAGGTCCACCACTGGTGGGACCCATCTGGCCTGGGCAGGGAGAGCCCAGCCTGGGGAAGGGGCTGGGCTGGGGGATCTTTTAGCATGTTCCAGCCCCTTTCCCAGTCATCCACTGCTCAGGGGTGCGATGACATCAATGAGTTGAACATTAGCTTCACTTTTCCCCCACCTCAGAGAACATTTGCATTTCTTCCTCACCCCACCCAGTGCTCAGTTACAGACAGGCTTTCTACATAATTTTAATTTGAATACCATCCAAATGATTTCCGCTGCAATCCGTGTTGCTCTGGAAAGGGTTGATCTGGAGCAAGAAGATGACAGTTTGCAGGAATGGACCTTGCTGTCCTGCGGAGCAGTGAGTTGGCAGAGGGCTGATGAGGTGCAAGGCGGGGGTGGAAGCACCAGCATCTCCTTCCCTCTACCCCAGCCCTTGGTCCCAGTGTAGCATCCACGCTCAGGGGAAGGTCAGCACCCCAAGTCCCCCACGCCAGTTGGACCTGTGTCTTGCTCCTGCTGCCAGCTCCCTGCTGGCCCTGGAGCCGGGACTCTCCGGGAAGCACCTCTGTTCGTTTGCACTTGTGGCGAGGGGAGAAATTGCGTGTGTACAGCAACTGGGGCTTTTCCTCCCATCTGACCCAGGAGTCAGGACCAGGCAGGGGGTCTCCCAGCCCCCCTTGACATGTCATCCCCTTTCTGCTCCCTGCTTCCTAGGGCCAAGGAGACCTTCTGGAGGCCACTGCCCTTCTTCTGTAAGTACATCCCTGTGAACCCCACCCCAGCTCTGCTTCTCTCTGATCATCTTTGAGCTCTGCTCATCTTCCCCGCTCCAGCTCTGACAATGGCAGGAGACCAGGCAGAGTCTGCCCACTCCCACTCCACAGAAAGGTGCTGGGAACCACAGCTCCAGGTCATCGACCCCTCAATCCAGGTCTGCTCAGCAATTGTTGTTCTCGTGGGGGGTCGGAGTGGGGGGCCATGCGCTGGGGGCCGATGTTCTGTCCCTGGTCCTCGAAGACGCTCAGGAGCTGTGCCTCGTCCCCGAGCAGCAGGGATGCTTTGGCTGGTGTTGGGGTCTGCGCCGCTGTCTGAGCTCATTGCAAAGAGCAGAGCCTGTGCAGCGCCAACAGCATGACCTGGCCTGTCTCTCCTTTACAGACAAGGATCCAGACACCCCACGTCAGGCCTTCGAGCCAGCCTCCCCCACAGCCCTAGCCTGCCACCGGTCCTGCCTTGGTGCCTCCAGGATGGCGGAGGAGCCAGCCGCTGCTGCCAACCCCACCACCCCCCAGGGTCTCCGGCAATGGCGCCTGCGTCGAGCCAGAGGACGGGCAGCTGCCTTTTGGGGTCTGGTCTTTGTGGGTGGATTCACTCTGCAGGAGGTGCATTTTTGGATGAAAAATGTGAATTTATGTTGGGTGACCCAAGCAAGATGATTCCACCTTGCCCTGAGGACCCACAGAGGCAATCAGGATAGTCCCTGAGCGTGTCTGCACTGGGGTATGCCCTAGTGCAGCATAACCAGACCCAGCAGAGCCACTGACAGCAGAGTCAGGTGGGGCAATGCAGCGATTATAACCTGTTAGGAGCAAAATAGAATAAAACAAAAGTGATGGCACACTGCTGAGTAAATTGTCTGCATCCCATGGTGCCCGTGCGCCAGCCCTGTTTCCCTGCTGCCAAGCTCTCAAGTCCCTGCTTCCTGCTGGTCCCATCCACAGGGCCGAAGAGATGATGCATGTAGCATTTTTTGTTGCTCCATCCCCTCATTCCCCCTGCAAAGCTGCAAGTCTCCCCTCACTGCTCTTCCCAGGCACCGCTCGCAGAAGGTCAGATCACGCAGGTCGGGCTGTGGTCCCCGCAAACACCCTGCAGCCCTTCGCCCCTGCTGAAGGAAGATGCTGCACCCAAGGATGGTGCATCAGACCCCAGCAGACCCCAGCTCCAGCCCCACTGCCCTAGACACTGGCTCAGCCGCAGCCCAGACACTCACATCCCCGGCACCAGCTCGGGGGGCAGAAGGA